AGCGCTCTCTCCCCTTACGCACCCCCCGCTCCAGCGAGGCCCTGCGTCGTCCGCCTAGTACGGGCAGGGAGGGCGGCATGGAGGGGCCGCAGATGTAGGGGCACGATGGGGCGTGAGAGATCACCACCTGGCGGCGTCCATATCTTCACTCGGAACGGCTGGTCCCGGCAGCTGTGGAGGGCGGCGGGCCCGGGGCCGGGCGACGGGGGTCCGGCGGGCGCCCGGTGTCTGCCGGATGAGCGCGAAACGAGAAACGAAACGAAACGAAACGAAATGATTGCTCTCAGTGAACTTGCTCACTTGCCGTGTTGCCGAGTTGCTGGCGACCCACACCCTATGTGCTCCGAGAACCAGCTTGTTTAGTTGTCTTCTGATAACTTGGGTCTTTTGCATTCAAGGTTTGGCCAAGAGTGGAGGCGCAACCTCGTCAGGTGTCAGGCCAGCACGTCCTAAGCCGTGGACGGCCGAATCTCACGTGAAGGAACAGGGGCAGGGACAGGGGGAGTGGCTGTCCAAATAACTTCTACGTGGCAGATATAGTTGCCACACCAGCAGCAGCAGCAGCAGCAGCAGCAGCAGCAGCAGCAGCAGCAGCAGCCAGCAGCAGCAGCAGCAGCAGCAGCCAGCAGCAGCCAGCAGCAGCCAGCAGCAGCAGCCAGCAGCCGCAGCAGCAGCAGCAGCAGCAGCAGCAGCAGCAGCAGCAGCCAGCAGCCAGCAGCCAGCAGCCAGCAGCCAGCAGCCAGCAGCCAGCAGCCAGCAGCCAGCAGCAGCAGCAGCAGCAGCAGCAGCAGCAGCAGCAGCAGCAGAGCCACGACGACGGCCAACAGACCAACAGAGCCACTGCCGACAACGCCACCACGACCAGCAGCCAACAGCGGCGCCGCGCACAGCAGCCCAAGCGCAACGAACAGCACCACAACGACCACGACCAGAATGGCTACGACCAACAGCAATGCAATTACGAGCAGCAACAGCAGCAATGTCACCACGACCGCGACCAACAGAGCTACGACGACGGCCAGCAGCAACACTGGCACGACGGCGACCCGCAGCGACACTCCCAGCAGCGCCACCGCGACTGCAGGCAGCTGCGCCACCGAGACAGCGACCAGCAGCGCCACGACTAACCCCAGGAAGCATTTAAGAACCCCCCCGGCGATATCTTAGCACCGCATTTTTATTCGATATTCCGAGGGGCCGAAATCACCGCACGATAGGTTTAGCACCCGGACACACAACAAATTCGCGGAGGCCTGGCCCCTGGGCTACAATCGAAATTCGAAATTCAAATCTGCGTGGCTCTCATGAAAGACTCAGGATGTCGCTTGGAGGAGGAGGAGGAGGAGGAGGAGGAGGAGGAGGAGGAGGAGGAGGAGGAGGAGGAGGAGGGGGCAGGAGGAAGTTCGTGGGTGGAGGAGAGGAGGAGGAGGAGGAGGAGGAGGAGGAGGATGAGGAGGAGGAGGAGGAGGAGGGCTCCTGGTGCCAGGTAACGCTTCCAGGGTGCGGAAGGGTTATCGATTTGCCGGAAGGGGGGGGGGTCTTAAATGCTCCCTGGGGTTACGCTCAGCAGCAGCAGCAGCAGCAGCACCAGCAGCAGCAGCAGCAGCAGCAGCAGCAGCAGCAGCAGTAGCAGCTGCAGTGCCACGACGGACACCAGCAAGTCACAACGACAGCGGCCAGCAGCAGCACGACGACGACGGCGTCCAGCAGAGCCACGGCCACCCAACGCCACCACGACCGCGACCAGCAGCACGGCGACGACGACCAGCAACGCCACCACGACAGCGACCAGCAGCACCACGACAACGGCCAGCAGCGGCCCCACCACGATTGCGACCAGCAACGCCACTGCGCCAGAGGCCAGCAACACCCCCGCGACCGCGACCAGCAGCACCGCGACGACGGCCACGACTGCAACCAGGAACGCCGCAGCGACAGCGACCAGCAAACAACCGCCAAACGCGACCGCGACCGCGTCGACGGCAACCGCCAGCAGCGCCACGACCGCCGCCGGCACGAACAAAAGCAGCAACACCACCACCACGGCAGCCAACAGCAGCACCGCCAGAATTTGTAGCACCAGCTCCGACGCCCGCGCCAGCACCACCACACCAGCCAACAGAAACGCGACGACGACCAGCAACGCCAGCACCACCACGACGCCCACCAGCAACAACACCACCAACACAAAAACCACGACAGCGACCAGCAGCACCGCGACAGCGTCCACCAGCAGCACCACCATGGCGACGACGACGACGACGACGACGACCAGCAGCGCCAACACCACCGTCCACACCAGCAGCAGAGCCGAAGCTACGTCCACGACGCAGGCCAGCAGCGCCACCGCCAGCACCACAAGCGCCACAACCACTCCCAGCAGCAGCCCGCGGGGCAAAGAGCCCAGTGGAGCGGAGGCGGGAGGTGGGACAGGGCTGCCGCGCACCCCCTACGGGCCCCACTTCCCGGGCGTGGGGCGGGGATGCCGCGCGCCCGCCTTCGGGCCCTATGCCCGGGTCCCCGCCCCAAGGGCTGCCACCGCCACCATGCTGACAACGAGCACAGCCACCAGAACGATTAACGACAGCCCCACCACAGGGACCAGCAGCAACAGGGCGGGAGGCGGGACAGGGCTGCCGCAGACCTGCTGATGGGCCCCACCTCCCCGGGCATAGGACGGGGCCGCCGAGCGCCCGCCTGCGGGCCCCACGCCTGGGCCCTGGACAACACCAAAGCTGGAGAGTGATGGGGGCGAGCAGGACAGCGGAAAGCGACGAGCGGGGCAGGCGAGAGAAGAAAGAAGGGCTGACGACGAGGAGGGCCGAGGAGCGGAACGGAGGCGGGAGGTGGGACAGGTCTGCGACGCACCCACCTGTGGGCCCCACCTCCCGGTCGTGGGACGGGGCTGCCGCGCGCTTGCCTGCGGGCCCCACGCCCTGGTCCCCGTCCGCTCTAAGGCCGCTCTCGCCTGCCCGAGGTCCTGGCCTCGGGGTGCGGCGGAGAGGAGAGACTTGCAAGGAGAAGGAAGGGAAGGACGCGGCGGAGGAGGCAGGGGCAGAGGACGAGGCGAGGAGGCCAAGGCTGGAGGCGCGGCAAGGGCGCCGGGCGCGGGCGGAAGGCAGGAGACGGCGGAGGCTGGCAGCGCGGGCGGGGCCGGCCGCGCTCGGGCAAGGCACTGCCGCGGACGGAGCAGGACCGCGGCGGCCCGGGCCGCTGGCCGCGCCGCTCCCAGGCGCCCCGCGAGCGGCGAGGCGAGCTCGGGGCCGGAGGCGCGGGCGTGCGGAGCCAAGCGGCGGCTGGGGCCAAAACGGATTGCGTGGGCGCTCGGGCTGCGGCGCACGGTGAGCCAGGGCGCGGCGGGCGGCGCCGCGAGCAGCTCGAGCGGCGGCTGGCGAGGCTCGCCAGGGCAGCGAGCGCCGGCCGACAGACCTTGAGGCGGCGCGGCGCGGCGGCGCGCGAGGGGAGGGGAGCGCGCTGCGGACTGGCACGGGGGGGGGATTTATCCTGGCGAAGGACCCAACCGTATGCAATTGTGAATAACGCTTTGTGGGTGCCGCTTCTGGTGGGGCTCCTTATGGGGCCACGAAGCGCTGTCCTGGGCGTACGGGGCGCATGGAGCGGCAGCACTGGGGCCTTCGGTGGAGCTCTCTATGGGGCTACGAAACGTGTGAGGGGTGTGCCGAAGAGGGCGCGGCGCCGCCATGTGAACGCGGCCACTGGGGCCTTCGGTGGAGCTCCCTATGGGGCCACGAAGCGTGTGAGAGGTATACCGAAAGGGGTGCGGCGCCGCCCTGCGAACGAAGCCACTGCAGCCTTCGGTGGAGTTCCCTATGGGGCACGAAACGTGTGAGGGGTGTGCCGGAAGGGGTGCGGCGCCGCCGTGCGAACGCAGCCACAGGGGCCTCCGGTGGAGCTCCCTATGGGGCGACGAAACGTAGGAGGGGTGTGCTGGACTGGGCGCGGCGCCGACATGCGAACGCAGCAACTGGGGCCTTCGGTGGAGCTCCCTATGGAGCCACGAAGCGTGTGAGGGGTGTGCCGAAGTGGGTGCGGCGCCGGCATGCGAACGCAGCCGCTGGGGCCTTCGGTGGAGCTCCCTAGTGGGCCACGAAACGTGTGAGGGTTATGCCGAAGTGGGTGCGGCGCCGGCATGCGAACGCAGCCACTGGAGCCTTCGGTGGAGCTCCCTATGGGGCCACGAAACGTGTGACGGGTGTGCCGAAATGGGCGCGGCGCCGCCATGCGAACGCAGCCACTGGGGCACTCGGTGGAGCTCCCTACGGGGCCACGAAACGTGTCAGGGTGTGCCGAAATGAATGCGGCGCCGCCGTGTGGACGCAGCCACTGGGGCCTTCGGTGGAGCTCCCTATGGGGCCACGAAACGTATGAGGGGTGTGCCGAAATGGGTGCGGCACCGCCCTGTGGACGCAGCCACTGGAGCCTTTGGTGGAGCTCCCTGTGGGGCCACGAATCGTGTGAGGAATGTGCCGAAATGAGCGCAGCGCCGCCATGCGAACGCAGCCACTGGGGCCTTCGGTGGAGCTCCCTATGGGGTGACGAAACGTGTGAGGGGTGCCGAAGTGGGCGCGGCGCCGCCATGTGAACGCGGCCACTGAAGCCTTCGGTGAAGCTCCCTATGCGGCCACGAAGCGTGTGAGGGGTGTGCCGAAGTGGGCGCGGCGCCGCTGGAACCCTCGGTGGAGCTCCCTGTGGGGCCACGAAACGTGTGAGGGGTGTGCCGGAATGGGTGCGGTGCCGCCAGGCGGACGCAGCCACAGGGCTTTCGGTGGAGCTCCCTGTGGGGCCACGAAGCGTGTGAGGGGTGGGGTGAGAGAGGGGGTGAGGGGCTCCGGGACCCGGCACGCCGCCTGCAGCCGAGAGAGCAGCTCAGCGAGCGAGCTGCCCGCGCGCCGCCGCAAGGCCTCGCCAGCCTGGAACCAGACCGCCTCCTCACGAACGTGCGCAGGAGTCGCCGGGGCGCTGCGCCGGGCCCCTCAGGGATGACGGGAGAACACTTGCAGACGCTGCTGGACGACGAGCACTGCTGCGACCTCCTGCACCACGCTGCCACGCTCCTTGCGAGGGCGGAAATCCCTGGCCCCGTGGCAGAGGCCCTCCGGCTCGGCCGCCTCACGGCGCTGCGCAAGAGCAACGGGAGGGCGTGAGGCATCGTGACTGGCGACGTTTTCAGGCGGCTGGTAGCCCGCACGCTGGCGCAGCAAGTGGGCGAAGAGGTCGAGCAGGCGACTGCCCCCTTCCAGTTCGCACTCTCGACCCGAGCAGGCACGGAATGCGTGGCGCACCTCGTGCAGACTCTCGCCCAGGGTGGCCCGGCCGCCACGGTGGTTTCCATAGACGGAATCGGGGCATTCGGTCTCATGTGCAGAAACTCGAGGCTCGAAGGATTAGCAAACCTGGGCAGGGGTAGCGCACTGCTTCCCTTCTGCCGCTTTTTCTACGGGGAAAGATCGCAGTACTGGTGGCACGACGACGCGGGACAAGGGCACGCGATCGACCAGGCGGAAGGAGGAGAGCAAGGAGACCCGCTCATGCCAGCCCTGTTTGCCTTGGGACAACACGCCGCCCTGCAACAGGTCCAAGGCATACTCTGGCCCGGGGAGCGCATCTTCGCCTTCCTTGACGACGTGTACTTGGTCACCACGCCAGACAGAGCGAGGTTCCTCCTCAACGCCGTGCGGGACGCCCTCCAAGCGCACTGCGGCATCAGCGTGAACATGGGGAGGACGCGAGTCTGGAACAGGGGTGGGCAGGAGCCACTTGGCATCCGAGAGCTGGGCTCAGCAGCAGACCGGGTGTGGGTAGGAGGAGCAGGCACACCGCCGGAAACCCAGGGCTTGGTCGTTCTGGGGGCCCCGATAGGCCACGGAGCTTTCGTCGCCCAACACCTGGAGGCCATCCTGGAAGAACACCGCCGCTTGCTCGCGAGGATACCACATGTCGGGGACCTGCAATTCTCGTGGCTCCTGCTCAGCCTGTGCGCCAACCCCCGGGCCAACTTCTTCCTGAGGGCGCTGGCTCCCGAGGACACGGCCGCCTTCGCCGCAGCGCACGACGACAACCTGGCCAACGCGCTCGCCGACTCGCTGGAACTCCCGCAAGAAGCTGTCGCAGAAGGCACGTCAGCGCGCCAACGCTGCCAACTACCGCTTTGCATGGGGGGGCTCGGCCTGCGAAGCGCGTCCAGGACGGCGCCGGCGGCCTGGTGGGCTTCCTGGGCAGACTGCGCGCAGATGCTCCGCGAACGCTGCCCCGAGCTCACAAACCAGATCTGCGCTGCACTGAGCGAGCTGGACCGGGGCCCGCTGCCGGCCGCTCCCGGGTGCTTACAACAAGCCAGCACGGCAAAGGAGCACCTCTCGGCGCACGGCTTCGCCGCGCCCAACGGGCACGATCTTGCGCAGAGCGCCCGGCCACCGCCGACGCACGAGCGGGAGCATGGCGAATGGGCGCACGGCTGGCAGTTCTGGGCCGCCAGAGTCTTGGAGAACACAGCCCGACAGCAGCTCCTCAACGCCTCCACGCCGCCGGACCGCGCCCTCCTCCGGTCACAGAGCGGGCCGTGCGCGGGACGAACCTTCACCGCGCTGCCCACGACTGGGGGGGGACTTCCACATCCCGCCGGCAGAATTCAGAGTCCTGCTCCTCAGGCGCTTGCGATTTGATTTACCCTTCGCAGCGAGCGCTTGCAGATGCAGAGGCAGACTGGACGCCAGAGGTGACCACAGAGCGGCGTGCCCAAGGGCAGGGGTGCTCAAGAAGAGATCCGCCCCATTCGAGAAAGCGGCTGCACGTATCTGCCGCGAGGCCGGGGGCCGAGTCGCAGAGAAGCAGCTCCTGCGAGACCTCAACGTGGACGGCGTCGACCCCCGCGACGGGCGCAAGATCGAGGTCATCGCGAACGGCCTGCCGCTCTGGGGAGGGGCGCAGCTGGCGATTGACGCGACCCTGGTGTCGCCAGTCCGCACCGACGGCACCGCGCAGCCCAGAGCCGCGGACGAGGACGGAGTCCAGCTCGCGGTCGCGCGGGGCCGGAAGGAAGCGACCTACCCCGAGCTCATCGGGTCAAGGAGATGCCGATTGGTTGTGCTGGGCTTGGAAGTCGGCGGCAGGTGGTCCGAGGAGGCCCTGACCTTCGTCCGGCTGCTCGCCAGGACCAGAGCCCGCAACGCGCCGCAGCGACTCCGAGCGTCGGCGCGGGCGGCGTACCTACACCGCTGGACAGGCTTGGCTGCGGTCGCGGCCCAGAGGGCGTTCGCGGCCACGCTGCTGGAGTTGCCGCCGCACACCCTGGCCGTCGACGGGGACGAGCCGCACCTCGCCGACCTCCTGGCGGACGCCCGCTACACGGAGACGCCGGCCCCTAGCCGACTGCCGCCGTGTTTCTGATGCGGTGGAACGGGCGCGGCCCCACCCTGGGGGCCGCCCGCCGGCGCAGCAGGAGGACCAGCAGAACCACTACAACCACTACCACAAATCCGACAACAAGCAGCGGCAGCAGCTGCAGCATAACCGCCACCACCACGCCTACGACCAGCAGCGCCACCACCGCCAGCAAGGCGACCAGCACCACCACCACCACGACGGCGACCAGGGGCAGCACGGCGACCAGCAGCACCACGACAACAACTACTACTACAGCGACAACAAGCAGCAGCAGCACCAGAAGCAGCAGCAGCAGCAGCAGCACCACCACCACCACCACCACCACCACCACCACCACTACAACTACCACCAGCAGCGCCACCACAACTTGCACGGCGACCAGCACCACCACCTCGACGGCGACCAGGGGCAGCACGGCGACCAACAGAAACACGACAACTACTACCACAACTGCGACAACAAGCAACAGCAGCAGCAGCACCACCACCACCGCCACCACCACCACCACGGCGACAAGGGGCAGCACGGCGACCAGCAGAACCACGACAACTACTACCACAACTGCAACAACACGCTGCAGCAGCATAACCACCACCACAACTACCACGACTACGACCAGCAATGCCACACCCGCCAGCACGGCGACCAGCACGGCGACCAGCACCAGCACCAGCTCCAGCACCAGCACCAGCACCAGCACCACCACGGCGACCAGCAGCACCACGACAACCAATACAACTACAGCGACAACAACAAGCAGCAGCAGCAGCAGCAGCAGCAGCAGCAGCAGCAGCAGCAGCACCACCACCACCACCACCACCACCACCACCACCTTCACGACGCCGACCAGGGGCAGCACGGCGACCAGCAGCACCACGACGGCCACTACAACCACAGCGACAACAACAAGCAGGACCACCAGCAGCAGCAACACCACCACCACCACAACCATCACGACTACGACCAGCAACGCCACCACCACCAGCACGGCGACCAGCACCACCACCACCACCACGACGGCGACCAGGGGCAGCACGGCGACCAGCAGAACCACGACAACTACCACCACAACTGCAACAACAAGCAGCAGCAGCGGCAGCAGCAGAGCCACCACCACCACCACTACGACTACGACCAGCAGCGCCACCACCACCAGCACGGCGACCAGCACCACCACCACCACCAAGACGGCGACCAGGGGCAGCACAACTGCGACAAGCAGCAGCAGCCGCAGCACCACCACCACCACGCCTACAAACAGCAGAACCACCACCACCAGCACGGCGACCAGCACCACCACCACCACGATGGCGACCAGGAGCAGCAGAGCGACCAGCAGAACCACGACAATTACTACCACAACGGCGACAACAAGCAGCAGCAGCGGCAACAGCAGAACCACCACCGCAACCACTACAACTACGACCAGCAGCGCAGCGACAACAAGCAGCAGCAGCAGCAGCAGCAGCAGCACCACCACCACCACCACCACAACCACCACAACCACTACGACTACGACCAGCAGCGCCACCACCACCAGCACGGCGACCAGCACCACCACCACGACGGCGACCAGGAGCAGCACGGCGACCAGCAGAACCACGACAAACAGCAGCAGCAGCAGCAGCAGCAGCAGCAGCAGCAGCAGCAGCACCACCACCACCACCACCACAACCACTACGACTACGACCAGCAGCGCCACACTCACCAGCTCGGCGACCAGGGGCAGCAGCAGCAGCAGCAGCAGCAGCAGCAGCAGCACCACCACCACCACCACTACGGCGACCAGGAGCAGCACGGCGACCAGCAGCACCACGACAACCACTACAACTACAGCGACAACAGCAAGCAGCAGCAGCAGCAGCAGCAGCAGCAGCAGCAGCAGCAGCAGCAGCAACAGCAGCAGCAGCTGCACCACCACCACCACCACAACCACTACGACTACGATCAGCAAAGCCCCCACCACCAGTACGGCGACCAGCACCACCACCACCACGACGCCGACCAGGGGCAGCACGGCGACCAGCAGCACCACGACAACCACTACAACTACAGCGCCAACAACAAGCAGCAGCAGCAGCAGCAGCAGCAGCAGCAGCAGCAGCAGCACCACCACCACCACCACCACAACCACTACGACTACGACCAGCAACGCTACCACCACCAGCACGGCGACCAGAGCCACCACCACCACCACCACCATGACGGCGACCAGGGGCAGCACGGCGACCAGCAGAACCACGACAACCACTACCACTACGGCGACAACAAGCGGCAGCACCCGCATCAGCAGCAGCAGCAGCAGCAGCAGCAGCAACAGCAGCAAAACCACCACCACCACCACCACCACCACTACGACTACAACCGGCAGCGCCACCACCACCAGCACGGATACCACTACCACCACCACCACGACGGCGACCAGGGGCAGCACAGCGACCAGCAACACCACGACAACCACTACCACAACAGCGACAACAAGCAGCAGCAGCAGCAGCAGCAGCAGCAGCAGCAGCAGCAGCAGCAGCAGCAGCAGCAGCAGCAGCAGCAGCAGCAGCGGCAGAACCACCACCACAACCACTGCGACTACGACCAGCAGCGCCACACCCACCAGCACGGCGACCAGCAGCAGCAGCACCACCACCACCACCACGGCGACCAGCAGCACGGCGGGGCCCGCGCGGACGCCGGCGCGGCAGGGGGCGACGGCGGCCGGCGGCGGCTGGCGGCGGCGGGCCGGCGGCAGCGGCTGGGCCCGCGACGGAGGCCGCAGAGGCCGAGGAGGCGGAGGAGGAGGCGGGCGCTGGGGCGAGGAGGCGGAGGGCGGCAGCGCGGGGGGCCCGCCGCCCTTTGGCTAGGAGGGGCTCGGGGAGGCACGCCAGAGCGGGCCCCGATTGAGGGTGGGGCTAGAACGCCCGCGACTCTCGGGGCGGCCGGGGGGGGCCCGCAGCGCAGCCGCGCCAGGAGCGAGACGAGGCGCCGCGGCCGGCGGAGCCCCGCCCCGCTGCGAGGGGGCGGAGGCGGAGGCGGCGGGCTGCGGCTGGCTGGGGCCCGCCAGGGGCCGGCCGAGGCGCGAGGGTGGCGGCGCGCTGGCTGGCGGAGGCGGGGGGCGCCGAGGTGGGGCCGGGCTCGGCCGCCCGCCGGCCGGCCGACGGCGGCGGGCGGCGGGCCACTGCAGGGGCCCCGCGCGGCGGCCTCGGCTTGGCGTGCGCCCGCGCAAGGCACAAAAAAAACAAAAAAAAACTCGCTATGGGGCTACGAAGCGTAGGAGGGGTGTGCCGAAATGAGCGCGGTGCCGCCATGCAGACGCAGCCACTGGGGCCCTCGGTGCTATGGAGCCACGAAACGTGTGAGGGGTGTGCAGAAATGGATGCGGTGCCGCCATGTGGACGCGGCCGCTGGGGCCCTCGGTGGAGCTCACTATGGGGCCACGAAACGTGTGAGGGGTGTGCCGAAATGGGCGCGGCGCCGCCATGTAGACGCAGCCACCGGGGCCTTCGGTGGAGCTCCCTGTGGGGCCACGAAGCGTGTGAGGGGTGGGGGGAGGGAGGGGGGGAGGGGCGGAGGAGGAAGGAAAGAGAGGAGACGCGGGGCACCGTCTCGTCAAAACGAGGACCCAACACAACATGATGGTTGGGAACAAAAAAACTAAACTGACGACCCCCGCAACAAACCACCAAAAAGCTCCGACGCCACAGCCTCCGCAAAGGCTACAGCCGGCGGTTGTCACCAACAGGGCCACCACCGACGAGAACAGCAAGGAGGGTCACCCCGCTGCCCAGGTCCACCGCCCGCCCCAGGCAGACGGCGGGGCAGGCCGCACCCGCAGTGGCGCGAGGGCAGGATCCTCAGCTATTCAGGCCAGTCTGGGCGGATCCCGCAGAGGAGCCAGCGTAGTCCGCGAGAGGTGTCAAAAGTTGGCCTGCAAGCCGCTCGTAGAGCGCGGCCCGCAAGACTCGGAAGAGCACCGCCCCAGCACCCTCGATGGCGGCCTGGGCAAGCGCCTGCGTAAAAGCGCCCGCCCAGGGATGCCGCGCGAGGATTCAAGGCCGAAGCAGCTGCAAACGACCATGACGCGCACAGGCAGGGAGAAAAAGAGAGAGCATCACCATCACCATCACCATCACCATCACGATCACCATCACCATCACCATCACCATCACCATCACCATCACCATCACCATCACCATCACCATCACCATCACCATCACCATCACCATCACCATCACCATCACCATCACCATCGCATCATCATCATCACATCATCATCATCATCATCATCATCATCATCATCATCATCATCATTTTCATTATCATTATCATTATCAGCATCAGCATCATCATCATCATCATCATCCTCATCCTCATCCTCATCCTCATCCTCATCCTCATCCTCATCCTCATCATCATCATCATCATCCTGATTCTGATCCTGATCCTGATCCTGATCCTGATCCTCATCATTCTCATCATCATCATCAGCATCATCATCAGCAGCAGCATCATCACCATCATCATCATCAGCAGCAGCATCATCATCATCATCAGCATCATCAGCATGGTCGTTCTCATCATCATCACCATCATCATAATCATCATTACAGGCGAGTTATTGCGCACAGGACGCGCGACAGGACACAAGACTCTTCCGACGGCAACATGGCCTCCAAAACCACAGGTCACAAGGGTACTGCGGTCACAAGGGTACTGCGGTCATGAACTTGCAGGTCTGCGCAAGTACAGGACACAAGGGTACCCTGCTGCGAGGGGGCGACCTCGAATCAACGCGTCGTTGGTTCACAAGCGGCGCGCCCGAACTCAGAGGACATCGCAGATAGACCCCTCGCCGCGGCGCCAGCGGCGCGGCGCTGGAACCATAATCATACCTTGAAGCCACATGAGCCCCCAAATCCGAGAGGACGCCAGGGTACCGTAGACAGGGGCCGCGACCTCCCGCCGGCGCGACGCGCTCAGACCGCCGCGGGCCAAGCCACCGACACCCG